TCCACAGCAACAGATAAATTGTGATAGCAATTTCACATATGTGCAAAGAGAACCAGAGTTCTCTCGCGAGGTAAACTGCAGCCAAACCACTGAGCTAGGGATTTCCCCTGATCTGGCAGAGCCCACGTCTCCTCAGCCACTTCACCAGCTGTGGAGCCCCCTTCACTCTCAGGGTCCCTCCTATGGGGACCTGGACAAAATTGCACACAATATAAACTATTTCGAGCCAACGCCTGATGGTTCCAATGACATTCATAGTTACCTGAAGAATATAGACAATTTTCTGCGCAGGTTCCCAAATGCCATGGTAGAGGACAAAATTTACTTAATCAAAAGAACTTCCAGCCGGGAAGTCAGAAGCTTTACTGAGCGCCAGCCTAGCAGTGTTAGATCTAACTATGATGTTCTTTGTCAGGCCCCTGATAGTGGAATTTGCTAATCATTTGGCACAGACAGGCTTAATTGCAGCTCTAATAGTTAAACAATATAGACAAGAGTCACCCCAACAATACTACAGCCGCCTTCGGCTAGTTTATTTTGGTTCACGAAACGAAGGAGGACCTAAACTTTAAAACACTGTTTGTCCAAAACCTCCACCCCACCACGAGTTACTATCTCGGGATTGCGGCTTGTCCACAAACGTTATCCAGTAGGCAATTGCGTGATTTAGCCCTAAGAGGGTTCGCAAAGCATTTACAGGCCTCAAGCAAACAGACAGAGACCCCTAAGGTCCTCAGTCTTGATACTCAGGGTTCATCCTCAGCCCTTTCACAGAGGCAGCAGACCCCTAAGGGATCCCCTAATACGCTGCAGTATTCGCATTAAGCAATGACTTTTTAAGAATGGTTATATGGCTCCATTCCCACATAGCTAGGGTTTCATGCAAAGTTGTGACCAGGATTTCTGTACAGCCTGTGTCAGACGATTTCTGTTTCTCAGCTGGACCTGTGAGCTCCCTGTGAATCTAAAGCTTTAGCCTGATTGTGTCTTGCGTGACAACAAACCCAGTTGTAGACATTTAAGAAGTTGTAGTTTGTAACCATGATGCATTGCTCGACTATTCAAGATGCTCATTTAGTAGTAACATAGTGTCAAACATGTCTGACCAAATTTACATGTGTATAAACACTGAGATTTGAAAAGCTTCACAGTCTTTGAATACTAATGAAAATACAATCTGTGCTGCTCAGGGGCACAATATTTCACTGTGACTTAAGGCAAGCATGAAGTAAAATTTAATTAACTCAATCAACTGTGCCACTAGTGAAGTCATCTAATTTATTTGGCAGCATACAGGTAGCCTATTATGGCATTAAAGAGTAACTACAACCTCTATTTCTAGCTGACTCCACTTCTAGCTCATGTTTGAAAAATGCTCAAAAATGGAAGAGACACTTTGGGAGGGGCGCTGCACTGATCTATGGGTTTGGAGGTGGGGATGGGAGGGAAACTGGGCAGGCTGGGCTGCTGTGTTTTTTACAGCCAGCTGATGTTAGCTACCAAAAATATGGAGAGTGACAAAATCAAATTGCACTCTCGACTAAGAGGTCTTACGATTTTTCTTCACTACCATAGTCATTTTTGACGAGAAGGTGTTTCTGATCAGGTAGGGTGACTTTAGCCTTAACAATATGAGCCACTGACTCAAGCTGCCGAAGAGTTAGCATCAGAAAATAATTAGCAGCGAGTGAGAGAGGCGTCTGAATGGTACAATACTCCCTAAAACCGTGATAGCTAGCTTCTAATTACCTGTTCAGCGAGATAAACATTCAGTAAAACACAAGTCCTGATTTCTTAGATGTAGTAAATTTCAAACAAATAAAGTGGATTTCTTTAAACATTGTCTACCTTTTAGTAATTTTGAAATCAAGCTATGGCAGACTTCTTGTGGGCACTGTACAAAGCTCTAAACTTTTATGAACATTTGCTATAGGTAACTTAGGTGGCCAAGGAAAACAAGCTAATCCAACCTTTGTAGCCCAAGCTAGGTAGCTTCCATTAGCCATCTTCTAGCAATACCAGCATCACAATCTAGCTTTTTAGCATGCTGCCAGTTTACATGAGAAGTTTAACAGGGATTATACCAAACAGGTTGTTCACAGTTGTGACAGTTTGGAGTTGTACACTGCCTCACCTGTCATCCAGGGTTTGCTGCAGTACACAAGTTGCATACGCTATTCGTGGGGCAGTGCTGGGTTTATTTAGGTCAGCACATTCATGGGGTCACATCCTCCTATGCAGTGACACAAAGTAGAGGAGTTTCATGATGATGGGGTTTAGCCAGGATTACTTCCCCTGCTTGATCTTAAATGGAACAATTATATATGTAAATTATTTATTAATAATTGCAATGACATTTACACAAGATACCATATTCTAATATACATTCAGAGAACACATTTGCACAAGTATTCAAATAATTTTATTCAACTAAATACTAGGTGTATCAATTAATCCAACCTGCACAAAATCACAGGACAATTCATTTTGTGGATTAAAATAAACTGTTTTATTAATTAGAGGAGTTATTCACATTTGCCCCTGTCTCACTAACAGACACACTTTTCTGTGGTAATACTTATACATTGCATCTGGAAAGTATTCACAGTGCTTCACTTTTCCCACATTTTGTTATGTTACAGCCTTATTCAAAATTCTACACACAATACCCCATAATGACAAAGTGAAAAAAGTTTGTTTGAATGTTTTGCAAATTTATTAAAAATAAAAAACAAAAAAATTTCACATGTACATAAGTATTCACAGCCTTTGCCATGACACTCAAAATTGAGCTCAGGTGCATCCTGTTTCCACTGATCATCCTTCAGTTGTTTTGACAACTTGATTGAAGACCTGTGGTAAATCCAGTTGATTGGACATGATTTGGAAAGGCACACACCTGTCTATATGGTCCCATAGTTGACAGTACATGTCAGAGCACAAACCAGGCCATGAAGTCCAAGGAATTGTCTGTAGATCTCAGAGACAGGATTGTATCGAGGCACAGATCTGGGGAAGGGTACAGAAAAATTTCTGCAGCATTAAAGGTCCCAATGAGCACAGCTGCCTCCATCATCCATAAATGGAAGAAGTTTGGAACCACCAGGACTCTTCCTAGAGCTGGCCGCCCGGCCAATCTGAGTGATCGGGGTAGAAGGGCCTTAGTCAGGGAGGTGACCAAGAACCCAAGGGTCACTCTGACAGAGCTTCAGCATTGCTCTGTGGAGAGAGGAGAACCTTCCAGAAGGACAACCATTTTTGCAGCACTCCACCAATCAGGCCTGTATGGTAGAGTGGCCAGACCGAAGCCACTCCTCAGTAAAAGGCACAGGACAGCCTGCTTGGAGTTTGCCAAAAGGACTCTCAGACCATGAGAAACAAAATTCTCTGGTCTGATGAAACAAAGATTGAACTCTTTGGTCTGAATGCCAAGCGTCATGTCTGGAGGAAACCAGGCACCGCTCATCACCTGGCCAATACCATCCCTACAGTGAAGCATGGTGGTGGCAGCATCATGCTGTGGGGTTGTTTTTCAGCAGCAGGAACTGGGAGACTAGTCAGGGTCGAGGGAAAGATGAATGCAGCAATGTACAGAGACATCCTTGAAGAAAACCTGCTCCAGAGCGCTCTGGACCTCAGACTAGGGCGAAGGTTCATCTTCCAACAGGACAACGACCCTAAGCACACAGCCAAGATGACAAAGGAGTGGCTTTGGGACAACTCTGTGAATGTTCTTGGGTGGCCCAGACTTGAACCCGATTGAACATCTCTGGAGAGATCTGAAAATGGCTGTGCACCGACGCTCCCCATCCAACCTGATGGAGCTTGAGAGGTTCTGCAAAGAAGAATGGGAGAAACTGCCCAAAAATAGGTGTGCCAAGTTTCCTGGGGATCTTCTGTATGGTTATCTAGGACAGTGTTTGGAGTCCGAATGCAAAACTGATTAACTTGCCAAAAAAAATAAAAATAAAATACATGGCAAACTAAAACTGCATAATAACTTCAAACTAAGTATGCTGCTTTGAGAGATATGTTATGACTTGGTCTGTAACTGTTTGGCTATCAAAGGTGTGCTTCATCCACAAGAAAATAACTGAAGCTCAATCAAAATGATCTGGACTCAATTTCCTTGATATTTGACAGAGGTCATTCCACAACAACTCACCTACAGCATGTCCTCTCAAATCATGAATTTGCATGAAAAAAAAATAATTTGAAAGTAGTCCATGTAACCATGCACAATTTTAAAGCTGTGCACCAATTGTAATTTATGAATTGTTAAAGTTTGGCCTGTTAGCATCTAAATGTTCTAAGTTTAACTGCTTTCAGAATGAATGAGCTTAAATATTAGCTGGGTATAAATACAACTATAAAAATATACTACCAAAAAAACAGTTTTGAAAATGTGCATTTTGCCTCAATTTCTTTCCAATTAAGAAAAAAAACAACAATGAAAATACATAACGTCACTGGACAAGGCCTAGGTGAGTTAAATGAGACATACAGTAAAGCAGTGCTTTTAAATCCTGCTCCTGGAGTCCCTCTGCCTCAAACAGTTTCAACAATTCCCTGTTTCAATATGTCTATTCCACCTAATCAACATTATGTAGCTAGATCAGGTTTGCTGAGGCAGGAAATAGTTAAACTGTGCAAAACAGGGGAACCCAGAAGCAGAATTAACAAAGAGTGCAGTAAAACATTCTAGCTTGTAGCACTGAGATTTACCTCACTTGTCTATCTGAAACATGGGTCACAGCCTCCAGGCTGCATAAGAACGGGGGAGGCTCTGGCTGGCAAACAGGTGGAGGCTCTTACTATACAGTAGTAGGCAAAATACTCAGGTGCTGCAAAAATAAGAACATACTGGAAGATGAATAGCCTACTATTGAAGGGTATAGAATGATTATAGTTTTGCATTGTGTTAATGAACATTATGCTTTAAAAACAGAAAGTAGTAAAACCTTATCTGACTACTTTTATTTCTTACCTTGGTTTATACTTTATTTGTTGCTCTGTGATGTAGGCTGGCTTAAGGGCAGGAGTAGGCTCTTGCTAATGCAGGTTGGCATGAGGACAGGTGGAGGCTGTTGCTGGTGCAGACAGGCTTGAGGACAGGTGGAGGCTGTTGCTGGTGCAGACAGGTTTGAAGACAGGTGGAGGCTCTTGCTGGTGCAGACAGCCTTGAGGACAGGTGGAGGCTCTTGCTGGTGCAGACAGCCTTGAGGACAGGTGGAGGCTCTTGCTGGTGCAGACAGGCTTGAGGACAGGAGGAGGCTCTTGCTGGTGCAGACAGGCTTGAGGACAGGTGGAGGCTCTTGCTGGTGCAGAGAGGCTTCAGGACAGGTGGAAGCTGTGCATGGAAAACAGGAGGAGGCACTAACTATACAATTTGAGGAAAGAATCAGGTGATAAATATTAGAACAGATGCTTCTCATCTCACTGAACAGCCCACTCCCACACAGTGGCAATAAAGGACCATTAGATATTAAATATCTATTAAATCCATATCTTACATTGTTTGTGCTTCATTTGTTGTTCCTGAAGTGTGACTGAAGATTTGCTGCTGCCTCACTTTGTTGGGTTAAATAATGAGTACAGAGGTCTTTAGGAACAAGCACCTAGCTTAAAAATTTCTCATAGGAATGAGGTCCTTTTGCCACATGGTCAAACAGCAGATCCATGAGGGTGTCAACACAGCCTGCAGCTGTTATAAAATATAACTATTATTCATTTGACTCTAATCACTGAAAATTAATTCAATAAAGTTCTTTATCTCATTGGTTAAAAGTGTTTAATGAATAGATTATATGTGTATACAAAGTCATCAGGGTCAAGGTCAAGCCCAGGCTCCCTCAGGAAGTTTAAGGTACTATAAGTTTTCATGAATGGCTTCAAGAGAACTGACCTCACACGACACATTATTGTTATGTACTCTTGCCTGAGTAGCCACACATTTCATGATAGAAATAATAATAATGCAGATTTTAAGATCTACACAATGTACAATCAGACACAAGTAAGCTCTAAATCTCTGTACCTACCTTTATGTTTTCTGGATGGTTTCACATGTGCCTGGACAAAGACACATTAGGAATTTGATCTCTGCGTGCCAGGTGATAGGTGGAAGTGGTGGCTCTTGTGGCAGCAGGAAACAGCCACTGTGCGGCCACTTTTATTTGCGGACGCCACTGAGCAGCCACTTCACCGCCATTGTGCGGCCACTTTTATTAACGACCGCCACTGAGCAGCCACTTCACCGTCTTTGCGTGGCCATTTTAATTAACGACTTCCATTGAGCAGCCACTTCACCGCAACTTTTATTAGCGACTGCCACTGCACCACCACTTTGCTGGCAGTGTTATTAGCGGCCATCTCTGCATGTGACACATTTATTAGCCACTTCTCCTGTGGCATATTTCGTGGTAGCTGTCACATCATCTGCACAGCTACGGTGAGAAGTCACATGAGCCACCACTACCTGTAGGTTTGTGGCATTTAGTGTTTGGGGATTTTAGGAGATAAGGAATTACTGGAACCTGCTACATTCCATAATAAGCTGCATCCTACAAGCATTGCAGGCTATAACTTTTTTACAAAATAAGTAGGAAAAAAATGTCTAAGTAAATAGTCACTCATCACACATGAATTTATCTAGCCTCACTAAAATGCTGTGTAGTTATGTTAGCTGTGTTATTTTGGTTTTGTACAGAGAATATTTAAAGATGTGGCAATTTAAATTTACCTCGTCCTGTGATGGTTATTCGGTTGATGAGGCTGAATTATTTTTCCTTTTTCCACAGTTTCATTTGACTCATCAGTGAATTATCCAGCACTATATTATTTTTATTTTTTGAAGTGCTTCTGCTTTTTTCAGGTGCATTTTTTCTGTCCTGTTCACATAACTGCTCTGCCACCTGAGAAGTTCGGTAGATTGGTGTGGGAGGACCAAAGTCAGAAGCCCCATTCTCAACAGGCTGAGACTGAGAATGAAGTGAGAATTTTAAAGGCATGGAAAATTACGCGATACCTGTAAAAAGACATCGTAAAGAATTTTTGAATTTGCATTATCTCAAACATTAAATATTAAATGAAATAGTAAATATTAAGTATTTACACATGTATTGAGTAATTGACAAATGAACAAATCTAAAGATGAACAAGAAAAAAGTAAAAAAAAAAATGAATAAGTTAAAAAATAGTCATAGATAGAATAAACATGATATAATTCAACTGTTATTATTATTTATTATATTATTGTTATTTATTATTAATTGACACTAACAAACAATTTAATACAAATGTTAAATACTTTGATGTTCATGGTTTATTAATGTTAATAAATGTAGTAATTATTTTCACCAAAGCATTACCAAAACATCCATCCATCCATCCATCATCTAAACCGCTTATCCTTCTGGGTCGCGGTGGGTTGCTGGAGCCTATCCCAGCTGTCATTGGGCGGAAGGCAGGATACACCCTGGACAGGTCGCCAGTCCATCGCAGGGCAGACAGACAGACATACACATTCACACACACTTACACTTAGGGGCAATTTAGCATGTCCAATTAGCTTAATTGTATGTCTTTGGACTGTGGGAGGAAACCGGAGTTACCAAAACAATTACAGTAAAAAGAAGCAAAGGAAGAAAAAGTAGGAAAGGAAATATAAAAAACTTGGACTCTTAATTTATAAGACGCAAGCATCCAGAAGATGAAATGTTCATTACACAATTAAACATTTAATCTTGTAATTTCTACAATAAAACTGAACTGTTTTCCTTATTATTTCCATACACATTTTAAGTTTGCCCTTTATTATTATTTAAATACAAAATACCCATTGATTTGCAATAAGCATACAAAACTGAATATCAATACAATGTTTAATTATCCTTGCCTGTCAAGTGAGAGCTTCACATGAGATTAGGCAGAAAGTCCAACACCACAATCCAGATATCAATAACGCAATCCAGGAGCAAGAGGTCAAAACCAGAGAATACATACAAGGACTATACTGCTCAGAATCGCTAGGAAAACCTTAATACGACTTCGCACCGAGTTTAGTTCAGAATACAACTTAAGTAGCCCACTAATGGGTTTCAGATTAGAGACAGGTGTCAGCATGATTCAGTACTCAGGTGAGTGAGACCTCTGTTGATGTGGAGGGGAACCAGCAACAGATGTGGCAGCGAGCCATGTTAAACAGAAGCAGACATCAGCCTATCAGGGAGTTATAGCAATATTAAGATTAGTCTCCCATAAAAAGAATATATATATACATTCATACATTTTTGAATGTACTTCATAAACACATTTACATATATTTTTGTATTGTACATTTCTATGTGTAATATTTCCTCATAAATTTTAACATAAGGGTATTTTAAAATATATTTAACAATATTATTAGCATGGCAGTATATTCTGAAATGCATTTTTGTGTTTGGAATGTATTTTGGCATGGATTGTAATTTATTTGAAATGTAAATGTAAATTTTAAAGTGACGGAGCAGTGGCACTGAAGTGACGGTCGCTAATAAAAGTGACGGTGGAGTGGCAGAGAAGTGGCGGTGAAGTGGGGTGAAGTGGCTGTGGAGTGGCTGCTTAGTGGCGGTCACAAAAAAAAGTCGCGGTGAAGTGGCTGCAATGTGGCTGCTCAGTAGTGGTCGCTAATAAAAGTGGTAGTGAAGTGGTCGTCGTTAATAAAAGTGGCAGTGAAGTGGCCGCAAAGTGGTGGTCGCTAATAAAAGTGGCGGTGAAGTGGTGGTCGCTAATAAAAGTGGTGGTCGCTAATAAAAGTGGCGATGAAGTGGCGGGCGCTAATAAAAGTGGCAGTGAAGTGGCCGCAAAGTGGTGGTCGCTAATAAAAATGGTGGTGAAGTAGCCGCGAAGCGGCTGCTCAGTGGCGGCCGCTAATAAAAGTGGCAATGAAGTGGCAGTCGCTAATAAAAGTGGCGGTGAAGTGGCCGCAAAGTGCCGGTCGCCAATAAAAGTGTTGGTGAAGTGGCTGCTCAGTGACAGTCGCTAATAAAAGTGGCGGTGAAGTGGCCGCAAAGTGGTGGTCGCTAATAAAAGTGGCAGTGAAGTAGCTGCAAAGCGGCTGCTCAGTGGCGGCCGCTAATAAAACTGGCCGCACAGTGGCTGTTTCCTGTTGCCACAAGAGCCGCCACTTACGTCTGTCACCCAGCACGCAGAGATCCAACACCCTCTCCAAATGACATCATGCAGGCCAGTTGAATCAGCCTGACATGTCATGTCTCTATAGTTTTTTCTTTTTAGAAGTAAATAAAATGTCACATAGCCACAAGGCTGACTCGAAATTTGCAAATTTGGCAAAATCTAAAAAAATCCTAATACTTCTCACCCAAATATTTAAGTCAACTGAGTCCATGAGGATTGAAGTGTTGATAAACTAAGTTTCCTATTGTCAGGGAGAGTGCAAGTTTGGCTGCAAAATGCAATAAAGAATTGACATATGTAGATGATGCCATCTAATAGTTTGTTTCCATCTGATAAAAGTGACAAATGTTTCGAGTTGACTCAATTTTCCTGTGTTTTGCAGTGTCAGCTAAGGTAGCCAGCTAGCTAGCTAAACATATAACACAGACCAATGCAGAGCAAAACTCTTGGATGAGTGTGGGTGCCGTGAACTTCATAAATGTTTTTCAGTCCATCGAGTGTATCTTGCACCGAAAGACTAATTGTTGTCACAGCAAGTGTTGTGCCAAATTCAGCACCCCTGCCATCAGATGCACCCCCTCTCGGCAGCATGTGCACAAAGTCTTTTGCTCTAAAGCGGAGGTAATCCACTTTTACATATATCAATTTAAAGAACTTGCAAGGTATCACTTTCATTTTGATCAACAACACAATAAATCACTGTTTTACAGAATGGAAATACCCCAGATGTTCTTACAAAGTACAGTGACACGTAAATAAAAATACAAAAGTATAACGTAGCCTACATACACCGCTGATTTCTTATTCTATGACATAGTAATCTGCATAGACCTTTTATGCAGCAAAAGATGTACGTTGCTATTTGTCAACAAAATAAACATATGAATTTCACTTATTTCTCATGTCACATTTCTCACCAGTCTGGTTCATTTTCTTTAGATTTTACACTCTAAAGGCAGTGCTAAAGGAACTCTCAGGTAATGCAACCCATTATAAATCGGGATACACTCTTATTGCTGCCATGTAACTTGCATTGATACATGCTGTTTGCAAATATATACTGTTAAAATCATATCAAAAGAAAGAAATGGCAGGGAAATGCTTTATAAAACAGAACGCTGGCCAGAAAATGCCAAATTTTGCTAAATTGGTGTTGCATCCCTGACAATTTATTGCAGAAAACACATGCTGGCCTAAGGGTATATTAATATATTTCATAGTTCTATTAATAAAAAGGTTACAAGAGTCCACGAGTCAGAACATGAACCCCCTGTTAGATCTGGCTGGGGATTGCTGCATCTATGATACTTGTAGGGGTTTCACAATTATGTGTGATGAAAACATACAGCTGTGTCAACAGAAAGAAAGTTATAGGGGGCGCCTTTTTAAGCAGTCCACCTGCCAGGAAATGCACCCCCTCTAAAATCTGCCTAAAGGTTATTGCATCCATGATATTTATACAGGTATCACATATTGGTCTAAAATATGTGTGATTAAAAACATATCACAGTTGTGTCAACAGAAAGAAAGGGGGTGGCTTTTTTTACAGGGGGTGCCTTTTAAGACAGTCTACCTGCCAGGAAATGCACCCCCTCTTAAATCTGCCTACATTATAATAACATCCATGATACTTATACAGGTGTCACATATTGGTCCAAAATGTATGTGATTAAAATGTATCATAGCTGTGGCATCAGAAAGAAAGTTATAGGGGAGGTGCCTTTCACCCCCTCTAAAATCTGGCTACATTATTATTATGTTTGTGATACTTATACAGGTGTCACATATTGGTCCCAAATATGCATTACTAAAAATGTATCATAGTTGTGTCAACACAAATAAAGTTATAGGGGGATGCTTTTTTCCATGCTACTTACACAGGTATGACATATTGGTCCCTAATATGTGTGATTAAAAACATGTCACAGTTGTGACAACAGAAAGAAAGTTATAGGGGGATGCCTCTTTAGGCAGTCCACCTGCCAGGAAACGCACCTCCTGTTAAATCTGACCTCAATATTATTACATCCATGTTACTTATACAGGTATGACATATTGGTCCCTAATATGTGTGATTAAAACATGTCACAGTGTCAACAGAAAGAAAGTTATAGGGGGATGCCTCTTCAGGCAGTCCACCTGCCAGGAAACGCACCCCCTGATAAATCTGACCTCAGTATTATTACATCCATGCTACTTATACAGGTATGACATATTGGTCCCTAATATGTGTGATTAAAACATATCATAGTTCTGTCGACAGAAAGAAAGTTATAGGGGGATGCCTTTTTAAGGCAGTCCACCTGCCAAGAAATGCACCCCCTCTTAAATCTGGCTACATTATCATTATGTCCATGATGTTGAAAGTGTGACATTTTACCATTTTATGAAAAATTGTAACTAATTTAGAACTTGATGGCAGCAACGCATCTCAAATAAGTTGGGACAGAGCCATGTCCGTTGTGTAGCATTCCATCTTCTCATTGCTGGAGTTTTGGGAGAGGAATGTTGTTCCGTTCTCGTCTGATGTAGGATTCTAGCTGCTCAACAGTCCTGGGTCTTCTTTGCCAGACTTTTTGTTTCATGAGGCACTAAATGTTTTCAATTGGTGAAAGGTCTGGACTGCAGGCAGGCCAGTTCAGCACCCAGACTCTTCTTCTGTGAAGCCATTCTGTTGTGATGGATGCAGTATGTGGTTTAGCAATGTCTTGCTGAAATATGCAAGGTTTTTCCTGAAAGAGATGTTGTCTGGATGGGAGCATATGTTGTTCTAAAACCTCTATATACTGTTCAGCATTGATAGTGCCTTTCCAGATGTGCAAGCTGCTGTAACGAACAATGGCCGGAATTTCAACTCTAGCTGAGTGTTTACCCAAAGTTAAGGGCCTTCTGGCTTCAGCAAGACTGGTTGGAGGTGTAAATCTGTCAAGCTTGATACCCCAACCCAGACTTAGCAGAATTTACAACCGGATCAAGAACCCCAGCTCCTTCACCCAGCACAAAAACAGGACACTTGCTCTGGAATGTGGCAGATGCCTCTCCAAAGCACTGTGCACAACTCTTTATCTTAAGTAACAGAAAGTACATTTCTAAGGTGTATGTCCACTGCATACTGCAACCATTCGTTAGAACTCTTTTTAACTAAACTATACATACCAAAACGGAATTTGTACGACTTTGGACGGCAAAATTCCAACTTTCTAAATTCCCTAGGGATCTCAATCATGGACCCGCAGCACCCCCAAGGGGTGAAATCAAGAATTACCACATCACCACCATAAGGACTTGTGCTTATAAGAAGCCAGAAACTTCGTGATTTGTTTACTTGATTATCGACGTTTCTATGATCTGTAAGTAATACTACTTGTGGTATTAATCTTGTTATCGGGTAGTACCTAAATATTACCTGTATCTTTTTCTATCGTTAAGTGCTAGAAATACGTAGAGTATAACTTTGATAACAGTCAGACCCAACCATTTAATTGCTATGAGTTTAGACCATTGACCAAGATGTATCCTGAATGTGGTTTTCTTTTCTTTTCTTCCTTTGTTCCTTTCCTTTTTGTTGATTTTAATTTTTTCATGCATTGGGTCATGTTCAGAGATGATAGGCAAATAGTACCTGTGTTCTTTGACATGTATTGTGTATCAGGTAACAAGGGTTAAACTCTCTCTTAGAAACATGCCTGAATATCCTAATTGTTCATTCCTTGATTTTGAAACCAATTGGATGATATAGAAATGTTCGTTTTCTTTGTTTAAACTAGCTGAAACAAAGGAGGCAGTGATTCTGGGGAAGGCATTCCTCAAATTATGCACAACCAATCAGAGTGGGAAACAAGCTAGTCAACCTATCAGCACTCTGGCACCACCTCCAAAGGGTAGGGCCTCCAGCCGAGCAAAACTAGAGTGCACAGATCGACCCTCAAAAGGCCGCCCAATCTCCACCGTCAGACGGCCACAAGAAGCCTCCGCCCAATCACTGACGGAAAGGCGCGTACCTGCATGGAGATGCAGCATCCAAGGCCAGCTAGGAGAGGAACCACCGCGTGAGCTCCAGCCTTCGATCGAGTCTGTCCTGAGACGACCCCTCCTGAAATCAGCCCCCGACTCCCACGTAAGCTGGAACCATCAATTTGCAGTCAGGGCCCTGACGCCAATTTATTTAATAAGAGAACTTTTATAGGTACATCCAGCCATATAGTTATTCCCGTCCAGGCTTAGGTTAATTCTCTAGAGGCTCTCCCAAGTGGCTCCCCAAACCACACTGCCTCATACCATTTAGCCGTGAATCACTCTTAGCTTACTCGAGCTATTTTGTCTTTCATTACTATCACTTTGTTTTGTTTTGTTTTCTGGTTTTATTTTCTATTGTTTATCATTGAATGTAGTCCAAAAGTAGTTTGATATTTAGCCAATAAATTCCCTTTTCTGAAGCATCCTTGGTGCAAGCGTTTCTCTCTCTTGCCCTGGTCTGTAGACTTCAAATAAATCCGGGTTACCTCACGCCCTCACATAAGGTTCTAGCAATAATAATATTAAAATTTGCAAAACCCGTTACACTGCCCATGCCATGGGCGCTAATGCAACCCCATACCATCAGAGATGCAGGCTTTTGAACTGTGTGCTGATAACAAGCTGGATGGTCCCTCTCCTCTTGAGTCCGCATTACATGGCTTGCATGGTTTCCAAAAAGAATTTCAAATTTTGATTCATATGACCACAGTTTTCAATTTTGCCTCAGTCAATTTTAAATGAGTTTCAGCCCAGAGAATTATCTCAAGAATTCCGTCTAATTTAATTAAACTATTGATTAACAGCGTAGTAAAACATACTTATTGACTTGCAAAATAATTAATGCAGCACTAAAAACTTTTTAGTTTATTCTAATCTACATTGTAAAAAGATGCTGTAAATTAACAGCCAGTTTTCTACTGTATAATCCTGTTATACACAAAAAACTTATCACGTTATTCTTAAAACAGCTATTTTTTCATAAAACTAATGCATTACAGGAGTTGTGTGACATGAAGCTAGCGTAGCAGTAGCAGGTGGTGATTCCTTGTGATTTTCATCCACCTTCATGTTTTACATTATAGCATTGCATTTTATTTTGCTTGTGAGGAAATACAAAACTCATCTGTAACATTTCCAGCTGTCTGAACTATTACATTTACATTTACATTTACAGCATTTAGCAGACGCTCTTATCCAGAGCGACTTACAAAAAGTGCTTTGTCTATCCAGAGAAAGTATCTTTGCTAGTTACCAGTAGGTTAGAGAGAAAGTCAGTTCTGAGCTCAGATACTGCTAGAATCAGAAATTCATTATTGACACTGTAACGGGTTTTGCAATTTTTAATATTATTATTGCTAGAACCTTATGTGAGGGTGTGAGGTAACCCGGATTTATTTGAAGTCTACAGACCAGGGCAAGAGAGAGAAATGCTCGCACCAAGGATGCTTCAGAAAAGGGAATTTATTGGCTAAATATCAAACTACTTTTGGACTACATTCAATGATAAACAATAGAAAATAAAACCAGAAAACAAAACAAAACAAAACAAAGTGATAGTAATGAAAGACAAAATAGCTTGAGTAAGTTAGAGTGATTCACGGCTAAATGGTATGAGGCAGTGTGGTTTGGGAAGTCGCTTGGGAGAGCCTCTAGAGAATTAACCTAAGCATGGACGGGAATAACTATATGGCTGGATGTACCTATAAAAAGTTCTCTTATTAAATAAATTGGCGTCTGGGCCCTGACTGCAAATTGATGGAACCAGCTTACATTGGAGTCGGGGGCTGACCTCGGGAGGGGTCGTCTCAGGACAGACTCGATCGAAGGCTGGAACTCACGCGGTGGTTCATCTCCTCGCTGGCCATGGATACTGCATCTCCATGCGGGCACGCGCCTTTCCGTCAGTGATTGGGCGGAGGCGTCTCGTGGCCGTCTGACGGTGGAGATTGGGCAGCCTTTCGATGGTCAATCTGTTCACAGATCAGTGCGTGGCTCTGGGTGCAATGCCGGGTCTCCGTGGCGTCAGAACCGGTCCCACTCCGCTGACGAGGTTCAGGTTGCAATCAGGGTTCTGAGGCTGGTGATACTAATTTAACTAACTACCTCTCTTTAGCAGAATCGAAAGTTATGGATATATTCTCCCTGGCCAGACAAGAAATATCCACCTTTCTTCTCTGAGGGTGGTTTAAACTTAAGGTGTGTAGACGAACAGGCAAGTTACAAAACAACAAACGTTTCAGATCTGAAAATTTAGCATTCTGATACTTCTGACCTGTCTTTCTGACCAAGGCCGGCACAAACTTAGAAACTTAGCTATCCTTTTGTTGCGAACGCAGGAATCTGAACTGAACCACAAATTTGCGGTGCACTCCGGTTTTGCTCGGCTGGAGGCCCTACCCTTTGGAGGTGGAGCCAGAGTGCTGATAGGTTCTCCTCACCTAAGGTTACTAGCTACTCATTGTTTCCAACTCTAATTGGTTGTGCATAATTTTAGGAATGCCTTCCCCAGAATCACTGCCTCCTTTGTTTCAGCTAGTTTAAACAAAAAAAAAAACATTTTTATATCATCAAATTGGTTTAACTTTCAAAATCAAGGAATGAACAACTAGGATATTCAGGCATGTTTCTAAGAGAGAGTTTAACCCATGTTACCTGATACACAACACATGTCAAAGAACACAGGTACTATTTGCCTATCATATCTGAACTTGACCCAATGCATGAAAAATAAAATCGACAATAAAAGGAAAGGAGCAAAGGAAGAAAAGAAAAGAAAAGAAAATCACATTCAGGATACATATTGGTCAATGGTCTAAACTCATAGCAATTAAATGGTTGGGTCTGTCTGTTATCAAAGTTATACTCTACGTATTTCTAGTACTTAATAGTAGAAAAAGATACAGGTAATATTTAGGTACTACCCAACAACAAGATTAATAAAACAAGTAGTATTGCTTACAGATTATATAAATGTTGATAATCAAGCAGACAAAGCAAGAAGTTTCTTGGGTTCCTTATAAGCACAAGTCCTTATGGTGGTGATGTGGTAATTCATGGTTTCACCCCTTGGGGTGTTGTGGGTCCATGCTTGAGATCCCTAGGGAATTTAGAAAGTTGAAATTTTGCCGTCCAAAGTCGTATGAGTTCCGTTCTTGGTATGTCTAGTTTAGTTAAAAAGAGTTCTAACGAATGGTTGCAGTTTGGAGTGGACATATACCTTAGAAATGTACTTTCTGTTACTTAAAGATAAAGTTGCCCCCTGGGTCGAGGGAGAGGGGTGCTGGTTCTTGGTTCACTCGTAAATTTGGCTGAGTTTGGGGGTTGGGATTGTTAAGTGACAGATTTACACTTTCAATTCCAGACTCGCTGGAGCCAAAAGGCCCTTAACTTTGGGGTGTTATACGTTAGAAACACTCAGCCTAGGGGTAAAGTTTCAGCCAGTGTTCGCTACAACACCTAGAGAAAAAGGAACAGAGTTAAACACAGAGCGGTGCAATACAATACATAAGTGCAGTACAATACTTTACAATCAATACTTAATTCACTGCTCATTTAAGTGCTGTATAAAGAGATGTGTCTTCAGTCTGCGTTTGAAGACAGCGAGAGACTCTGCTGTACAGACAGCCAGTGGGAGTTCGTTCCACCACCTGGGTGCCAGCACAGGGAACAGTCTTGATGCTTGCCTTCCATGCGCCTTGAAGGATGGCAGGTCAAGTCGAGCTGTGCTCGAAGCTCGAAGAGCTCGTGGTACAGGTCGAGATTTCACCATTGCTATCAAGTAGGGAGGGGCTGGTCCATTTTTGGCTTTGTAAGCAAGCATAAGGGTTTTAAATCTGATGCGTGCAGCTACAGGAAGCCAGTGAAGGGAGCGCAGCAGTGGGGTGACGTAGCTGAACTTGGGAGATTGAAGACAAGCCATGCTGCTGCATTCTGGATGAGTTGCAGAGGCTTGATGGCCTGCATTGGAAGACCAGCCAAGAGTGAGTTGCAGTAGTCAAGCCTTGAGATGACAAGAGACTGCACTAGTACCTGGGTGGCCTCACGAGTGAGAAAGGGTCGGATCCTCCGGATGTTGTACAGGAGAAATCTGCATGACCGAGTTAGGTTCGCAATGTGAGTCGAGAACGATAACTGGCCATCCAGAATCACACCAAGACTTCTTGCCTCTACAGATGGGACAATCAGAGAGTTCTCGAATGAGATGACAAGATCATGATGAGGACCTGTAGTTGCAGGGATGAATACCAGCTCAGTCTTCCTAGGATTGAGCTTCGGGTGGTGAGCTGCCATCCATGAAGAGATGTCAGACAGACATGCCGAGATCCAACTGGAAACCTGTGTGTCAGAGGGTGAGAAAGAAAGCATTAGTTGAGTGTCATCAGCATAACAGTGATAAGAGAAGCCATGAGATGATATTACATTGCCAAGAGAGCTAGAAAAGAGAAGAGGACCTAGCACCGAGCCTTGTGGGACACCAGTGGAGAGCCTGCATGGAGAGGATGTGGACTCTCCCCATGTTACCTGGTATGAGCGATTTTCCAGATAGGACTTAAACCACTTCCACGCAGAGCCAGTGATTCCAAGGTTGGTGAGGACATCCAGAAGGACTGTGTGATTGACCATGTCAAAAGCTGCCGAGAGGTCAAGAAGAATCAGGACAGATGACAGACAGGCTGATCTTGCTGACTGGAGCTTCTCGGTCACTGCTATAAGAGCAGTTTCTGTTGAGTGCGCTGGTTTGAAGCCAGACTGGTTGGGGTCCTGGAGCTGGTTCTGTGTGAGAAAGAGAGAAAGTTGATTATAGACTGCATGTTCAAGAATTTTTGAAAGGAAAGAAAGGAGTGATACCGGTCTGTAGTTGTTGATATCAGAGCTGTCAAGCGTGGGCTTCTTCAGGATAGGAAGTACTCTTGCAGCCTTCAAAGTTGATGGAACTTCACCTGATGACAAGGACTTGTTAATGAGAAAAGTGATGAAGGGCAGTAGATCCTTGGAGATTGACTGGTGGTTGGGTTACTGGATTTGATCAGTTGAAGGACAGCACCTGTGGAAAGAGAAGAAAAACAGTTTAAGGGACTGAGAACGAGAGGGGGAGGTCTAGTGGAAGGAGTGGGGACAGAGGGAAAAGACTGGCGGATTCTATCACCCTTCTCCTCAAAGAAGGTGACAAAATCCTCAGAAGTGAGAGAAGAGGGTGGGGGGGGAGGAGGAGGGTTGAGGAGAGAGGAGAAAATGCTGAAGAGCTTGCATGGATCAGATGCTGATGCTTCCAGTTTCCCTCTGTAGAAAGATGACTTTGCAGCAGTAACTTCGAGTGAGAACTTGGAAAGGTAGGGAGTAGGAGTGAAGGTAGGAGTGAAGATCCGAGTCGAGCTGGGATTTCCTCCACCTTCTCTCAGCCTTCCTTAGTTCTTGCCGGTTGCTGCGCAGGACACCTGTCAGCCAGGGGGCAGGTGGGGAAGATCTTGCTGGCCTGGAGGAGAGAGGACACAGAATGTTAATTGCAGATGAGAGTGAAGAAAGGAAAGCATCTGTAGCTGTGTCCAGTGAGAGAGAAGAAAATGAATCAGGATGGGGAAGAGTGTTCAGGATAGTTGAAGCAAAAGAGGAGGAACGAGTGGAGTGCAGGTTGCATCGAGAGGAGGAGCGTGAAGGGGTGGAATGGACAGGAGCAGCAGGTAGGAAGAGTGAGAAAGATAGGAAGTGGTGATCAGAGTGGTGAAGGGGAGTTACTGTGACATCCAGCGCGGAGGTGGGTCTGGTGAATTTCAGGTCCAAATCGTTGCCTGCTCTGTGCGTCGGCGGAGTCTGGTTGAGGGTGAGGTCGAAGGATGATAGCAGTGGTAACAGGCAGGATGACTGCAGCTTGTCCGATGGCAAGTTGAAGTCACCCAGATGTATAAGCGGGGTTCCATCGATGGGGAAGAGACTCAGAAGAGTGTCTAACTCATAAATGAAGTAGCCTTGAGGAGAAGCAGGACGATAAAGGACAATGATGTGAAGTTTAGTGGGGAAAGATACAGTGATAGCATGGTACTCAAAGGAGGAAATTGAAAGATGAGAAAGAGCAAGTGGAGTGAAATGCCACTTTCTGGAAAAAAGCAAACCTGTGCCACCACCCCTGCTATTATTTTGTAGGAGGATGCATTTTTTTTGTCCTTTTAGCCATTAAACCATGACTGATGAAACTTTATTATACAAAATGCCTCTAATAGTGAGTCACTATTGTTGCAGTGTGATTTTATATGGTTGTTTTTATATGGTCATTTCATGGTGCCCTCACCATGACCTCTGCAAATGTTTGATTATTTTTCATGCATAACACACAATAGATGTTATATGTTTACTGGTATATAAAAATCAAAGGTTACTTATTAGTATTAGTATATGTCAAAAGGATTAAACATAGTACACTTCGAACCCCACAAATCATTTGTGATTTGTGGGGTTTCATTTGTGATTTGTGGGGGATCATTTGTGAAAATACTTATATTCCAAATTATATGATTTACCCACATTCCCTCTACAAATTAGGACCACTACATAATTACTGTCCGACTAAAGTAACCACCACCTGTGTTCGAAGACCTCATGGAATAATAATAATAAAAAACAAAAATGTTCATTGTTAAAGTAAATATTTAAGACCAGATTACGAGTCAGACGAACTTGTAAGAAATGGGCAAGACATAATGGGTACCGCTTAATCGGTCCTTCCTGTCATATGAAGCCTTATGACCCCAATAAGCGAGCTACTTAAAACTCACCTGAGACCGGGTGTTCCACAAAAGCCGTATAGCCCAAATAAACAGACCCTTCCGGTCCTATCTCAGCCCCAGGGGCAATAACCAGTGTCCAGGCCCCAACTCCTTGAGACCAGGTAACCAGTCTTAGCCAAAATAAGCAAGTCAGACTCATAAGGTATCAAAAGAAATCAGAAATTGCCAATAACTTTTTAGGATCATCAGATACAAGGAAGTGGCACTATAGGGGAAAGCAAACAAAGAGTAAATGAGATTAAACTATAATAAACATCAAATGATATAAGATGGTCACCAGTACAAATCATCCCCGCCCAATCAATTGTCCGTAGTTTTGGGCGTAATCAATCAGATGCAGTTGGTATCCAGGGCAGATCAGGTAGAACATCGTATGTGTCGTCATCACCTTGTTTGGTAAAAGTCATCATCAGGTACATGTTTATTGCGTCCTTCTTCGTTAGGGCCGTGATGATGAGCCTCTCCAGAAGTCCTTGCGCACATGGAACGATGCAACATCCACAAGTCACCAAAAGTCCTGCAGCAGTAGCTATGGCCACTAGTAATGACTTGGCCAAGTCTGACCATTTCCCAAACCATGATTCTAACATCTTGGAAAATGGATCATCAATGCCTGAATTCTCTGCAAGTTCATTGGCTAGAGCAGTTAGGCCATGTAAGGCTTTCGTGACAGATCCATCTGGTTGTTAGGAATGAATGTACAGCAGGTTGCACCAAACATGATGCAAACCCCTCCTTTTTTGGCCAAAAGCATATCTAAAGCTATTCTATTCTGCCATGCCATCAAGCTAGTGGCATCCAGTTGTTCAGCTAGTCCTGTAACAGCATCTCTGGTGTAATTGATGAATCGCTGTTGGTTAGATAGATGTAATTGATCCAGTCTACATTCTTGTTAATAGTAGACCACCAAAATAGAATTGACACAAAGCCTGCTGCAATTTGATTTCTCGCTTTGAATTTATCAGGGACCCCTCTAGGGACCCCAATAGCATCAATGTAAATGGTGTTGTCAAAACTGCCAGGAACAGAGGTTGATCTCTTGCTTCTATGATGAGCTGTATTGTCATGTAAGGTGATTATAGCTACAGGCATAGTAAGTACTGCAAGGGCGCATGTGCCCTTCCAATTCTTGGGCAGGGTAGGCCTTAGGGTGGTTGTTTTACAGTACTACCAACCATCTGCTCTAGCAACTAACATAGTGGAAAAACTCATGGTTGGGATGTCAGTCATATTGTAAGTGAGTGCACAGTGGGGAAAACGTCCCACGTCTTTACCGTCAGTGTCATGTCGAGTGAAACGTGTAATTCCCTTTACCAGGTTCGAACCGGGGTGGGATATGACCTATCTTTTTCACTAGTGGAAATTTCCATGCATGTCAGCACAGTCAGATTCGTTTGGAAGTACCCTACCAGAGAGTAAAGTCAACAAACAAAGTGTACAGTTATAATCATATATCAGTGCTGGAAATGGCGATGATGTCAGTAGTGGCTTAGCTGTAGAACATGCATAGCAATTTTTTGCACATAGGGTGAGTGCAGTGTAATGTATCCAATCAATCCAGTAGCGTCGTTAATGGTGAGATATAGTGGATTACAGTTCTTTGAACATGGGTGAGTGCTACGACCTTGAATTAAGGTAAGACTATTCTGGAATTGTTTCCATTTGGATGTAGACTGTCTGTAAGTGTAGCCATTAACACTTACTCACTCGACCAGTCACAATAACTAGCACCTGAGCAAGAGACTACTGAACAAAAGTCAAAGTTAAAAGTGGTTGTGTTGCCCTCAGTAATTGTCAAAGTTAACACCGTGCCATTGATAAGGGGTGTGATGGCTAACATACATACAACATCTAAACCGCTTATCCTGCTGGGTGGGGTGCTGGAGCCTATCCCAGCTGTCATTGGGCAGAAGGCAGGATACACCCTGGACAGGTCGCCAGTCCATAGCAAGGCAGACAGACAGACATACACAATCACTCACACCTAGGGGCAATTTAGCATGTCCAATTAGCTTAACTGCATGTTTTTGGACTGTGGGAAGAAACCGGAGTACCCAGAGAAAACCCACTCAGACACAGGGAGAACATGCAAACTCCACACAGAAATGACCCTAGTCACACGGCTGCGAATGGAACCCAGGCCCTTCTTGCTGTGAGGCGACAGCTCTACCCACTGCGCCACCGTGCTGCCCGTGATGGCTAACAATAAAACTAGAATCTGCAACATGTTTGTGGATATGTATGTGCTAATGTGTGTGTGTGTGTGTGTGAAAGATTCTGGCAAGCAGGGGGAGCATTTACCCTTCTTGTAGTATATTGGTGCTCGGAGTGCGGGCACGCCCTGTCAGCACTCTTCCCACCTGAACTGGGCTCCTGCACACCCTCCTTTGCCTGAATCCTACCTCAGTCTTTGTCTGGTGAGTCTGGTTCTGGTTCTGACGGTGAGGCTAAGTTTGCTGGTTCAGAGTCTGAGCCATCACTGTCCTCTCTGGCAGGTGGCCTCAATTCCTTTCAGGCAGCTGCTCTGGTTCGTGGTCTTGAGTCCACTTGGTCCTTCCCCTGCAACGTCGTCTTGGCTGTCCTGTCCCTCTGGCTGAACTGGTTCTGGGGGTATGATTGCTATTGGAGCAGCTGAACAATGATTCAAATAAATCCACACTTTTCGGCCTTCCACTTTAACTGCAGTTGGAGTAGCAAGGACCACCTTGAAAGGACCTTCACGTTGTGGTTGTTGCCAGCCTTTTTTGAAGGTTTTTATATAGACATAATTGCCAGGAAGCACTTTTTTCAGTTCCTCCTCTAATCTCTGATCTTCATCCTTCAGTAGCACCTTTAACGTCATGAAAAACCTCCCTATGAGTTTTAGTCAAACATGTCATAATCGTGCAATTAATCTTGCAATTGCTTGAGCTGGGGACCTCTAGTAAGTGCCCTTAAGTAAGTTACTGGCATTGGCCGTTCAGTAAGCATCTCATGTGGAGTTAAATGCGTATTACGATTAGTCGACATTCGCATGCTCATTAGTGCCAAAGGTAAGGCATTTAGCCAATTAATTTTCTGTCCACTCGCCTCACATAGCTTAGCAATTTTGGCCTTAAGAACACCATTTTGGCGTTCAACCATACCCTGTGACTGTGGATGATAAACACAGCCAAGTCTGCGCTTAATGCGTAATGCCTGTGTGATTGCTGCAATAACTTTATTAATAAAGTGTTTGCCATTGTCAGAACTAATTTTATGCCATATGCAAATCTAAATATGATCCATCCACAAACAAAATTAACTCACTATTCGATAGTGGTTCACTATATAAATCTTCTCCAGGTTTTAAGAAGGTTGTGGTTAACTATTCACAATGATGTGGTATACCTTCTTCAGGCGTAGCTAACCTCTCTGCTGGATTCACTCTGGAGCATCTTTGTATTGTCAATTCAGGGCTGAAAGAATTACATCATATCCTGTTTGTCTAACATTAGTCAACACAAAAGAGTAAGATGTGAATAACGTGTATCACATTGTTATGGATGTTGCTTTCTCATATGTGAATGATGCTGCTTCTAAGCCTTGATACAATACCTTTAGCTAACAAACTGAAACGTGTTACTTCTTTCTTTTGTTATAACTTGGTTAATGGTTTCCCATAATATATTTACTTTCCTTTAATTCGTAAAATAATCTGCATTGTAGCCTCTTTGTGCAGACTGGGGGCGGTCTGTGTGTGTGTGTGCTCCAGCTGTACTAGATTAATTGCTGTCCTTGAAGTGCTTGTGTGTCTGTAATCTCATGGTCCACTGCTAAGAGCCCCCCCTTCCTTGCTTCTCTCTCTCTCTCTCTCCGCTGCAACTTTTTTACCTGCCAAGATGACAGGTTAATACTCATACATTGATAATTTCCCTTATTTTCCAAAAAATCCTACTTTTTCATTTTTTCTTTGACTTTTACATGTCAATCACTATTTTAGAGTTGAATTCTTCATCAACCATACTTCACACACATCAATCTTTTTTTTTCCAAAGGGAAATCTTTAAAGTAATCTACTTTAAACAGCTCATCTCTTGAACTTCTAAATACATGTTGCACTAGCGTTGAGTTAGGCCATAAACTCTTATGCAAGGGGTCAGTTTCTCGTAATTTAATCTAGTGTCAAGGAGTGCACCATCCTAAAGTAGCTGCCTTTTTCTTCCTTTGGACCTCTCTTTTTTCGACAGTAAGGTATATCTCAAGATCTCTCCACCGCTTAAATTTAATTTCAGCCAATAAAGGGGTTTGACTATTTATTATTGGATTTTTGTTCCAAATCAGTTTAATTCTCCCTTTCAACCAATGGTGAGGAACACAGTTTGCACTTCATCCCAATTAAGCCACTTGGGTCAGCTGCCATAATTTTTCACTAATCAACACTGATGATTGCCAACTCTCTGCCTTCAACATCTTTGTAATTTTCCAAGCCAAAATTGAGTTTGAACACCTTGTGTCTCCATTACAAATTGATTATCCATAAAATCACTGTGGACAATATTTTAATACAATCACTCTACTCTCTATTCATGAATCGTGAGCTTTTTTATATATATAACTTCATCAGCCACGCTTTATTTATGTAAATTAAATCAGGTCCTATCCTTATCTCAATTAACTTCCATTATATCACTGATATGGCTGTTATTGTCAGTTGCTTATATTTGACCTTACTTTTAAGTTTGATTTGTATTTTTAAGTTCTCCTGTATTTTAATCATTTAGTAGTTTACAGTTTCCTTTTGGACCTTGCACTTGGTTCTTGTCCATTGAAGGAGAAACAGCCAACTAAACATCTCCTCCAATCAACCTTCTTAGTTGTTTCCAGTTGTTTAGCTTGCCAATTCTCAATCAGTGAAGGAGGCCAAGTGCTGAGTCCAGGGCAACCATGTGACATCACTAACAAAGTGCACTCCAATGGCAGTCTACTAGTAATAGGATTTAATCTACTTTTAATAAAGTAGAAACTAGAAGAGGGAAATGTGTGGTCAATTTTTGTGTTGACTTGACAAAACCAGCTGGATATGAAAAAGTAGTCATAGCTGTTGTAACATGTTCGGAGACGAGAAGGCAGGATGCGTGTGTGAGCTAGCAGTTTTATTGTTGTCCATGTCCGGCTCGCGTGAGATCGTTGGTAAATTAGAAGTCAAAAGTAAATGTGTAACTACGACACCTATTACACTATAATAGGTGCACGAAATACAACTACACTGCTTTTATTTTGAAGGCAACTGTTTTGTTTTTAAATTTGTGTCTGTCCGGTCAGTGCACTTATGCACCTTCACTCAAATGTGTCAGCAAATGTGTTGGACAGCTTTCAAGAAGATAGCTCTTAGCCCTTAAATGTGTCAGCTAACGTTAAAAAAAGGAAGACTGATGCAGAATGCAGAGTTTTTAACAAGGCGTGGACTTAACTAAATATTTATTTACTGAAGTCAAAGGTAAAGCTTTGTGCTTAGTTTGTGGAGAACAGATACCTGTGTTTAAGGGTTACAATTCGAATCGCCATTATGAGAGTAAACACGCAGAGAAATACAAGAACTTGACTGATGCAGAGCGAGCACAGACATCTGAAGATTTTCTAGCGAAACTGCAAAGGCAGCAAGGATTTTTTTACAAAGCTCCACTCATCCAGGGATGCAGCAGTCAGGAAAAGCTTTGTAATATCCCACAAAATCGCAAGAAACAGTAAGACATTCTCTGATGGGGAGTTTGTCAAAGAATGTTTGGTGGACTCTGCAGCGCTAATTTGTCCTGAGAAAAAAGAAGCGTTTGCAAATGTGTCCCTCTTCAGGCAAACCGTAACAGTACAGGTCGAGGATATCGCGGGTAATTTGGAGCTTCAGCTGCAAAACAAAGCGGATAATTTTAACTTTTTTTCCTTGGCTCTGGACGAGAGCTGTGATGTCCGCGATACAGCCCAGTTAATTATCTTTGTACGTGGGATAACGAAAAACGGAGATGACGGAGGAGCTGGCAGCTATGCGGTCATTGAAAGGGACCACGACGGGGAGTGATTTGTTCACAGAGGTAAATGCATCCATGGACAAGCTGGGACTAAAATGGGACAAACTGGTAAGTGTTACAACCGATGACTGTCCAAATCTGACAGGGAAAAATGTTGGACCTTTAAAGCGGATGCAAGATAAAGCGACTGAATTGAACCCAGAACAGAAATTGATATTTTTGCATTGCATTATTCATCAGGACGTGTTGTGCAAGTCACGTGTTGTAACTAAGATGGTTAATTTCATCAGGGCAAGAGCACTGAATCACAGTTTGTTGCGCTGTTGGAGGAGCATGAAAGTGAACATAGTGACATAGGCTACCAGACAGCTGTGAGAGGGCTCAGCCTTGGCAAGGTGCTTAAAAGAGTATGGGACTTGAGAGCACAGATTCAGGAGTTGAGAAGAAAGGCAAGGACATCCCAGAGCTCTCACATACACACTTGATGGCATATCTGGCTTTTGCTGTTGATGTGACTACACTATTGAATGAACTAAATACCAAGCTGCAAGACAAGGGCCTCTTTGCACATGAAATGTACAGCTTGGTGACGGCTTTCATGAGAAAGTTGAAGTTTCTTTCAAGCCAATTGGGGGGCAACATTCTCACTCACATGCCAACACATCACAGTCACACCATCAGCTTATCACCTCCACAGGTATTCATCCATGTTAGGGGCACTGCATGGTGAGTTTTCAAGATCATTTGAAGACTTCAAAACGTGAATCAAAACGTCATTGATCTGCAGTCTGACAGTCTACTGGCAGAGCATTTTAAGTCAGTATCATTACTGGAGTTTTATTCTTCTCTCAAAGAGGAAAACTTTCCACACATAAGGAGGCATGCTCAGAGCATGTTGGTTCTTTGGATCTACCTACATATGTGACCAAACATTCTCAGTGATGAAGTTCAACAAATCCAGATACAGATCCTCTCTCAGTGCTGATCACTTGTGTGCTGTCCTTCGCATATCCACCTTAGATATTCAACCTGACTTCAATGCACTGGCTCAAGCCCACAACAGGCTAGATTTCTCTCACTGAACACAAAAAAAGAACTGAGGTAGAACAAACAAACAAAGCAGGGTGCATTTATTTCTTTTTTTGTATAAAGTTAATGTGATGCTGGTCTTTGAAAAAACTAGATTTTTTGTGTAAAGTTGTGATGCTAGTTTTTTAAACGCTGCAAAAGATGCACATTTTCAAAACTGTTTTTATAAATGTTTGTTAAATAGTGATGTAGTTCTGTGCTCCACATTTTCATTGCATCATTGTAATGTTTCATTTACTGTTCTTTATTAAGTTAAAGTGATGCTGGTCTTGCTATTTTGGGTCAGGTTGTGATGCTAGTTTTTTTAAACACTGCAAAATTTTACAATTTTCTTAACTGAACAATCACAAGTTCATTAAATAATGATATAATTCTGTCCTCCACATTTTCATTATATCATTGTAATGCTTCATTTACTGTTTTTTCATAAACAGACATTATATATACTGTATACAGTATATATGCATTGGGCAGAACTGAGTTAAGTATATTAGTCTGGCCCTCTAAAACCATTGCAATTTCTCATGTGGCCCCTTGGGAAAGTTAATTGCCCACCCCTGCTCTAGACTACAAAGATTATTGTCAAAGTTCATGTTTATGCTGGCATGACATCCAAAGAGAACAAGTTTTAACAATATATATAGACATTACCTGTGTAAAGTGTAAGTTCATTTGCTGATAATTTTCATGCCTAAATGCTTTCCTGAATTGAAATGACATTTTCTGACATGAAAAAATGTGGAAAGTGTTTGCAAGTGGAATCATCAAG